CCACACCCCACACAGTCCACGGAACCGAACGAAACCACCCACAACAGGACCGCCAGTGAGTGCCCGTCACAACGCGCACCCTCTCCCTCCTCTCCACCAACCCTGCGCCAGCCACGCACACGAACAACGCAACCTACCACCTCCCGCTCAAACACACACACACACGCGTTTCGCCTGCTGCTTGTTGCTTGTTTGTGTGTGTGTGTTGGTCTTGTTGGTTCGTGTTTGGGCGATTTGTGGAAGATGCCACAAATAATCGCCCACTGCTGCGTTTGTGCTGCAACCGCTGTTTGCTTTTGCTTTTGCTTGTTGAAGGGCGGACTTGCTTGCTTGGCTTGGTTGGTTGCTTGGTTGGTTTCAATGAGACAAGAAGAAGAAGAAGCAGAAGAAGAAGGAGGGGGAACAGCACTGTGTGTGAATGCAACGCATGCTCACAGGCCTTGCAGGCTGAGGAGAGAAGGGGAGAAGAAAGGGGAGAAGAAAGGGGATGGAAAAGAAGAAGCAAACAAACACACACGCACACACACAGCTGTGGACAGCATGCATCCCCTCTCCTCCTCTTCTCTTCTCTCTTCTTCACTTCCTCCTACCCCTCCCCTCTCCTCCTCACAGTCACAATAGACAACCAACAGCCACAAAAGGCTGGAAGAGAAAACAAACAAGGGCGAGGGGGCAACAGCCACCCAGCCAGATCGCCATGGAAGCAAAGAGGCGAGGCGACGGAGGAGGGAAAGGAGAACACCGTCCATCAACACACGCACACACATCTGTTGGGAGCCCCACGTCTTGTGTCCGTGCTTTCCCTCCATCCTTTCCTTGGCCTGGGTTGAGTTGGGTTGGTTGAGGTGGCACAGCTCGCCATGGCGTGGCATGCCTGGATGCGTGGGCATGGGTGTTGGATGTGGATGGGTTCCTCTCTGTGTGTGGGTGAAAAGGGGGTGGTGGGAAACGGTGGAAGGGGCGGCAGTAGCAGAGAGGAAGGAGAAGAAGCAAGGGAAGGGCGGTGGATGTGAGCATGCCATGCGTGAATGGACGACAACAACACATGGCGTGGGACGATGATGATGTGGTTGGTGTTGTGTGTGATGGCACAAGGACACAAAGGTCAACCACAATCACACACACACACCTCGTCGTCGATCAACGCATCTGCCTGACATATGCGCACACGCGCACGCACATCTGCAGTCACACACACACACACACACACAGTCACACATGGCATTGCAGAGTGAGACGGTGCACCATGCACACGCATACACAGCAATGCAAAACACAACCATCACAACCACCACAACGACAACATCTCTCTCTCATCTCCATCCCCCAAATGCACGGTCACATGACCAGGTGCACAGCCATGGTGGTGGTGGTGGCCGTCATGAACGCCTTCCTCTCAACTTCCCCTCAACCCCCTTCCACCAAACACACACAGCATTGCGTGCCCTCACCTCGTGCATCGTGTTGCTGTCAGCGTGGTTGATGGCGATGCACACACATGCACACGCATACGCACACATGGCCGTGTGTGTTCCCACTTGAGATGAGCAAGGGGAGGGAGAGAAATGGGCGACACGACACGATGGCCAGTCAACACCAAATCCAATCCAGCATCACTGCCGTGTGTTGCCTGCTGCAGTCATCATCACAATCACAATCACACACAGGTGCAAGCAAAAGGAATGAGCCACTGATATGTGTGTCATTGTCATGTGATATTACCACTACACGATATCACGTGCATGTGTACACGCACCCCATCCCCCAACCAACATCAGCGCCCTCCATCACTTCCCCTCCCTCTCCCTCCTTTCGCTCTGCACTCCCACGCCGCCCAATCACCACCATCACCGTGTCACTTCCCTGCTTCTCCTGCTTCCCATCACTCCACACAACACAGCCTACCACCAACCAACCAACCGCCAACGATCATCCTCACCTGTGCTTGATGCAGCCAGCCAGCCAGCCAGCCAATGTGCCACAGCAAAGCCCAAACAAGGGAACCGCAATCACATGCCACGGCCACCATCGTCATTGCTGATGGAGCAGAAAGAGGAGATGAAGGGGGAAGAGTGGTGGGCGCGGGCCGTGTCCTTCCTTGTCTTCATCGGTGCAGCCCCAAACACCGTGCACAGCGCACAGGCACACGCACGGCCATCATCACAGCAGCAGCCACCAGCAGCACAAGCTTGCATGCCTGCCTGCCCTGCGTGCCTGTGAGGCAAGGAGAAACCAACCAGAGACGAACAACAGCAACCGGTGGTGGTGAGGACAGGAAAGGAGGGACACAAGGGGCCACGCATGGACATATGCAGCATGATGTGGGCGGGTGAACCAGATGCACACAAGACCAACGACACAAGCACTCAGCAAGCAAGCAAGCAAGCAAGCAAGCAAGCAGGCACACCACATCCACCACATCCAACACTCCTGCAATACCTGTGTTGGCGGCTGTCTCGATCACGCCTCAACAGCTGCACATCACAAGGGAAAGGCTGATGATGATGATGATGACACAGAGCAAAGACGATTAGTTGGGAAAAGGAAGAAGGGAAATCGGCTGGGGAAACCCGCACAACGTCCGCCTGCAGCCACACACACACACACACGCACATTTGAGTTGTGTGATGGATTCATGTGAGACACACGTCAGTGCAACCACCCCACAGCCAATGACTGCTCTGATGTGTTGGCATGCATGTGTATATGCGTGTGTGTACGTGCGTGCGAATGAGTACTACCACCCCATCACCGCACACACACACAGCGCCAACGTCTCACCTTGCGCCTTCTTTTCTGGCACATTCGTGTGTGCGTGTATCGCCCTGCTCGTGTCATGAGGACTTGGGAAGAGAACGGCCACCGTGCTGTGCAAATCACACACATGTACACATGCGCAAGCACAAAGAACCAAATCAGCAACAACAACACCACGCAGTGAGCCAGCATGACAGAAACAAACCACATCCACCTCCTTTGTCACATTCACATCACCCACATCACCACCGGTGCACGCACATTTCACATCCCCACACAGACACCCCCACCACCACTACCACAAGCATCACATCTGCACATGCGTGTGCGTGCGCCGTGTACATCCACCACAAACCACTCACCACCACTAGCAGCGTCGTCATGCGAGGCAACGGCACATCGACGCACATCACATCCTGTGTGCGTGTGAAGAAAGAGTTGTCTCAGAATCAGGCTGTCAACGACAGCCACACCCATTGCCAGCACCAACAGACCCAACGACATCCAACCAGCACTTCACAATCACACACATGTACATGCTGATGTTCACACCCAACACATCACACACCACCCAGATCACCACCACCACCACCGCCATTCATCTCACCTCCACATCCACGGCAGCAGCCGCTGCTGTTGGTGACCAATGACGACGACAACGAGGCGGGGATGGACGATAGACAGATGGCCAGTTCATCCACAATGCAGCCAGACATCAGCTGTTGCTATTGTTGTTGCTGATGGTGGAAACGGTGAAAACAAACGGCCCCTTGCCACGCCGTGTCCTTTGCTCGCTCACTCGGCTGCTTGGTTGGTCGGTTGGATGGAGACGAGATACATGGCCCTGTATCAAAATCAAGCGCAAAAAAGGGGAGAAGAAGAAGAAGAGACACATGAGTGGACAGAACAGACAAGGAAAGAGGGAAGCGAAGAAAGGAACACAGCGTGTCAACCAACACACACACACACACGCACACACACACATCTCAGTCGGCCTCTCACCTTCATCACTCGTCATTGTCATCCTCGTTGGTTCCACCGCTTCATGTGCCTCCTCAACGCTGTGAAGCGTGTGTGTGCACAGACACAAGATGGGAGAGAATGCAGGGGGGGTGAGGTTGACAGCGAAGCACCATTAACCACACGCCATCCCCATCCAACCACGCGCACTGACACACATCCGCACGCACACATCTTGTCCCCACTCACTACCACAACACACACACACACACATATGCTCACCTCATCATGAGAGCGAGTGACATGTGCAATGTCTGCCTCACGCCAGATTGGAGCTGGTGTCGGCCGGAGTGTGATGGCGGCTGTGCAGTCGATGGCGATGGTGACGGTGATGGCGGTGACAGCGGAGTTGCGGTGGAAGAGAGAAAAAGGAGAAAGAAATGGGGAAGGTTGATGTTGATGGGTCGTTCATGGCGGCTTCTTTCCCCTCCTCTGATGTGGCCCTGGTGCCCATGCAACCAACACATACAACGACAAGACACAACGACATCATCACACACAGCACACAGGCATGGCATGTGAGCACAGCAAGCGTGTTCACCTTCCTGCTGCCCCCTCTCTTTTGCTTTCCTCCTGTTCGCCCCACCATCACCGCACACACACACACACACACCTGCACATGACTGCGTCGCTGTGGTTGAATGTGCCCACCATGACCATGTACGTGTGTGTCCACAGCTGCTCCTCACAATCTATCATGTGTACCCGCCCATCATCCTCCAACGATCCTCAGACAGTCACCCCCTGCAGCCACAAGCATACACGCATGGCATGTGAGCTGCACAGCTACATTGGTGCACGAGACACAGCAGCAGCAACAAGAAGCATACCCACAGCAGCAACAACACCAACACATGCACCATGTGCCAACCAAAGCATCCATGATGGGCTCACCTTGCTCACGCATATGGGAACACTGCATGAGCACAGCAGCGACAGCCGAATCAGGGGAGTTGCAGCAGCACCAGCAGCCGGCATTCGAGCCCGCTTCCATCAACATCGTGATGTGTGCTGGTACCTCACCACCTGTGCATGCGTGTGTGCGTGTGTGCATGTGTGGTTGCAGGGAACGTGGATGGGAACAGAACACGCAGAGCAAGCCATTATGTCAGCACAGCAGAAAGAGTGATTGACATCACACGCACCACGTGCGCGTATGTGTGTGTGTGTGATCATCATCCCCCATCAACCCTCTTCCTTGTTCATTTCATCGCACCCCATCACCATCACAGCCCCATCACACAACCAACAACCACTCATCATCACCCACATACCATGTGTGAGGCGAGTGCAGCTGGCACGCGTGGCAAGTATCCTCGACCGTTCCCTCATCCTGCTTGTGCGTGCACATCGCCTGTAAGTGTGGTTGTGTGCGAGCATCAGCATGGTGAGTGAGTGGGAAGGGAGCAAGGGAGCAAGGATATGTGCGCAGTCACACTGCTGCTGCCACTGCTGCTGTTGTGCATGCAGGTGTGTGAAGGAGAAGAAAGGGAAGAGGGAGAAAACAGAAAACAAAAGGGAAGGAACAAGACATGCTGCACCCCATCCATCCATCCATCCCTCTTCCTCACACCACCACCATCATCCCCTGTCACCAGCCACACCGCACCACACCACACTCACCCAGCATCCCCCACCCCACCCCACCCCATCCATCCATCCATCCAGCCAACACACATCTCCTCTCTGTTTTCCCTCTTCTTCTCGCCCTCACCTCTGCTGCTGCTGCTGCTTCCCGCCGAAAGTGCAACTTGTGCTATCGCCACCTGTTCCCAGCTGCAAACAGCCAGCTCCCGCCTGCAGCAGCGGGCGATGGGTTGGTTGATTGGTGGTTGGTTGGTTGGTTGGCTGGGGAATGTGTTCAGCTGCAAGTGGTGTGGTGGTGCATTCTCTGCTGCTGCTGCATCGGCGGTGGAGGGTGTGTTGGCTGCTGCTGCTGTTGTTGTTGTGATGGCCGTCAGGGAGGGCGAGAAAGAAAGGGGAATATAAGCAGCTGCTGCAAGGTGGAGAATGCGCATGTGTGCAAGCAGTTGTGTGTGAGAACGACGAATGAGACAGCGCATCAAGCAAGGCAAAACAGGCAGCCGCACCACACACATGCATGTACATTGATGTGGGACAACAAGGGGAGACAGGGGCAGCAGAGACAACGACCACAAACCCGCACACTGGTGCTGTGCGCAGCATACACACGCACACATGCAGTGATGCACTCACGTTGTTCATCGCTTGCTTGTTTGTGGTGCGGTGTGTGTTGGTGCTGCTGCTTCCACAGCCGCACAAGCGTGGCTGGATGGTCATCGGATGGCAGCGCCCGTCTGTTCATCCCACAACAGCAGTGGTGACGCCCATCTGTTCATCCCACCACAGCAGTGGTGGTTGGTGGAGGGAAGGGATGACAGCTGCTGGCTCAAGGGCCCTATGTGTGGTGACAGCAGCAGTAGGAGGAAAGAGCAACAAGCAAGCATGGATGGGTGGTGCTGCTGGTGTTGAGAGTAGGAATGGAAGGATGTGAGCAAACACACAAGAAAATGAGGAGGTGGTGATGATGGCGTGTGGGTGGGTGGAGAAGAGACCACGCACGTCGACACAGACACACAGACAGACACATACACACACACACCTGCCAGGCGTTGTCGCCGCTGAACAGGTTGATCCTGGCAGACTCCAGCGCTGACAGCAGCAAATAGCACAGTCATGACA